AAATTTGTATTCAATCAAATGTACCATCGAATTTCTCAAAAATACTTCTTGCTTTCCACATTTAGTTTATCATGGTACAAGATTAAAAAATATCGAAAGTATTCTTCAGTATGGCTTTTTGATACCAAATCGAGCACATCCATCTAATAGTGAAGCACCTATTATTGTTTCAGAACATGGTCGAGCTTTTGGTACTGGAATTTATTCAAGTTATTCAGCTGCTTATTCATTATTATATATTAATGCTACTAATACTTTTTTAGCATGTGCAGCAATACCAAAACGTGACAAAGTTGGGAAAATTGAACGTTTCCATGGAAATATATTAGTTTTATCTCATATATCACAAATTATACCATTATTTTTAATTGATTTTAAATATCTAAATGGATTATGGAGAAATTATCCTTGTTTCAATGAAGAAAAACAATGCAAGATAGATAAAAACAATGAAATAAAAAAACCTGTTATTATTTCAAGAAAATATTTACGAAAAGTATTAAACTATATGAATGATGAAGTACGAAAGAACAATCGATATCAAGTGCGATCGTTTGAATTCTTTAACTAATGTAATTTTTTTTATTCGAAATAGAAATAAGTAAAACGATCTTGAAAAATGAGATTAATAATAAAAGCCGTAAACAAATACTTGAGAGTTTATCATCGAATGTAATTTTTATTAAACAATATGTTAATGGAAATGTATGTGTCAGGTGAAATATGTATTTCGAGAATGTAGGTGTGGCTGACTCTTGTGCCAGTACCGAATTCACACCCACAGCCACTTTTCTAAAAAAAACGAATATTGCTTCTTCTCCTTATGTTTTTATCTTTCTTCATATTAACAATCTTTCAACTATATTATACATTGAATAGTTTATGACATTGACAGTTTCTGTACACATGATGTTTTACACTTAAAACAACTGTTTAATATGTCTTTGGAAAGAAAAATCGTATGCTATACTAGATTGGAACAATTTTTAACACTAAGATTCAATTTTTTTTCTTGCAATATATGAAAAGAAAAAGAGATCTAAGAAATCTTTTATTACTCTTTATAATATTCATAGATAAAGATGCGATCATTCAAATTAATTCGTACTTATTGATTTGTGATCGTTAATGTTTTAACCTCAATAAGATATCGGTTTAAGGGGAACCGCCCGTTCGCGACCAAAACTTATTAGATTTTTCATCTTTGTTTTTTATTTCTAATGTATATACTTCAAAGTATTCTGTATCTACTGGACATATTTCAAGAATTAATATATATATATATAAAAGCTGAAGAACTGAAAAGATGAAGCTGTTTCGCTGAAAAACATGAAAATTTACACATTATTTCGCTTTTTTTTAAAAATTGACTTTTTTGACAAGAAAACGGTGGAGAACCGTCCCAATTTCGCAACTACAGTACACCTCATCAAATTCAAACTTTCTTTTACTGTTACTAGGTGTTTAGGGTGTCTACTTTCTTTTGTTTGAAAACATAATGGTTCGCTGTTTTTTTACCAAGTTTTACAAAAAAGAAATATCCATTTTTTGAGGATGCTCTCAGGATTTCGGCGTTTGTATTCAAATCGAAGACGATAACATCAAACTAAAAAATATCGACAATCAAAAAAGTGTCTAGTGTGCGCAAAAAAAATGTGTAGTCCTATCATACGAACTATGATTGAAACAGGGAATTGGTAAGGGCAGTCATTTTTTGCTCTTCCAACCTCGATATCTTCTGCAGGGAAACTTTTGAAAATTCTGAGTCGATATCCAACTTTTGCTATACTCAGTGAGACCTATGCGGCCTGAAATTTTCAAGACTTTCTAATGATTAACTCTTCAAAAGTGTCAAAAAGCAAGAAGGATTCTCTTAATGAAAATATTTTTGTTCATCTTTTTGAAATTAATAAAATAAATAGTTTCAATGTCATGCACCCACAAAATTGAATGTTAGATATATAATATACGACTTATTCAAAATAAATCACGTATGAGTTTTTTATAAGACATGTTTGACAACGTCTATTTTCGATCAACATTAGAAAATATCATTTTTGAAATCACGCTCCAGGAATTAATGCATCCCCAGTATTTATGATGATGTTCATGAGCATATACGAATAGTTTACGTGTTTATATGCAAGAACTTGGAGTTCAAATACCTTTCAGTCAAGAACTGAACCTAATATAAGCTGTAAGAAAATATGTGGAGGCTTACGAAACTGTTTCCAGACATCGTGATATAGTGTAAAATAATCGAAAATCAAAATAATCTTCTTGAGCATTTCCTTGAGATGCTCCGTATATTTTATTCACAGAGAAGATGTGTTGACAAAAAACTAACAACAATAAAGCAATCCGTTATTAGGCTGACATCAATCAACAGTGAAATTTGAAAAATTTTCAATAGGTTTAAAAAAACCAATAAATAAAGTTTTTATTCGTTTTAAGGAATAGAATTAGTTAGAATGTTGCTCCTCCAAATCATTTAGACCATATGATTTGAGTTGAATAATGACTTGACAATTGTTCATATCATCAGCTAGATTCTGATTCTGACAATATCGTTGTTGTTGTTGTTGTTGTTGTCGTTGATATTGCTCAATATGTAATATATGAAAAACTTGTATTTTAAGTCGTTGAATAAATCTACGAATTTCATTTCGAAATGCTTTGCCCGATAAACAATAGATATAAAAATTTAAAGAACAATTAATTAAAATTGCTAATAAAACCCACCATGTTTCATGTGCTTCGACAGCACCAAAATGTCCAACAATATGTGATAAAAGTGATGCAAGAAAGAGAAATGAATGAAGAAGCAAAACTTTAGTCATCCACGATGCCGTTCGTGATTGTTTATTATGTGTTTGAGAACCATTTATTTCATGTAAATGTTGCCATGTTCGAATAATATGATAAATTATATAACTATTAAATAGAATAACCGCTCCAGTTGGAATTAATTCTGAGAAAAGACAACGCATTGTAAAATGATTCATACCAAAATGAACTTCGTGAAAATATTTTTTCCATTTAACTGATGCTTTTGGATTCAATTCACAATATGTCTTGTTGATGTCCATTTTTAAATCCATTAGTATATCGTTACTAGAATAATATGTGAATTATAGAGTAGATTTCTTTTTTGTTCTTAGTAGCGGATGATCGAAAAGTTTTTAGACAAGATGTTTACTCACTTTTCACTTGCTAGAAAGTATTTTTGATGAGTCAAAAGATACAAGTTACGACCAGAATTTTGTGCAGCTTAGAAATTTTGTCTCAGTTTTTGTTTGGAAGTAGTGAAATAATCTTTAGAGTAGCCAAAAAAAAAAGTTAGTTTGGATGTAAATTGTGGGCTGATGTTTCTAGTGAACATGTTTGTTCATTTTGGCCTGTTTGAAAGCATTTCAGATGCGCCAAAACTATAGGTTGCGACCAAAATTTGAATATGAACTTAGAAATAGTGTGTACATTATTGTTCTAGAGTAGTGAGAGGCTTTTTGAAAGACTTGAAAAATAATGTTCAATGGTGAGCCAACAGGTTTTTGTTTACTCCATAAGTGCCTTTGCGAACATGCTAAAAACTATCAGAATCAGTCTTTTTGTAGAGCGAACACTTCTCTACACAATGTAATAATGAACTAAGCTATAGTTTTTACCCAAGCATTTTTTCAGGAGCACCTTTCAATGTAAAACGGTTGTCGATTTTTCAAAAATGAGTATTTAGCTACCTTATCGAAAGATAAAACAACTTTAAATAGTGTAATGTGTGGAAAAATTTTCCGTCCAAAGTAATTTTTTTGGGCTGCTTCAAGGATTATTTCATTATTCTCGAACAAAAACTGGAACCAAATTCCTAAGCCCATATTCAAAAAGAACACAAAATTCTTATCTTAACTCATAGTTTTTAACTCGTCGGAAATATTTTCTGAGTGAGTCAAGAATAAAACAAAACATCTTGTCTAAAAACTTTTCGATCGCCCATTATTTTCAATATTTCATGTCACCAAATCCAAAGCTTCAGTCTTATTGAAGATTACTTCATTAGATTTAAAAGAAATAACATTTGATTTTAATTTTTAGAAAATTTCATATCACAAAAGACATTTAGTGCTTACATACTCAAGTATTCCTGGTTGAAACATATAAACAGGAGGTGCAATAACACAACCAAGAATAATAATAATGATGCTAATTGGAATAATAAATTTTAGTTTAAATGAATTCCATCGATTGAAAAATGTTCTTAATCTTGTTGAAACGCACAATAAACGTTCGAACATCCAGAATAATGTTATCCATGATGAAATAACTCGAAAACAAAATGAAAATTCATAAATTTTACAAGCCCACCATTTTTGTCCGACTAATTCATATAGAATATTTTGTAATTTTGAATTTAGAACAAAAGCATATCGTATAACACATAGAAGATTTGTTATTGAACTAGAAGTTGCCAAATAAGCATAGACCGATGATATTCGCCAAGTTCGACGACATAAAGAAAATATAAATAGTCCCAATATATTTCCAATAAATCCTAGAATAACTAAGACATCACACAAACTATCAACTATTCGTGCATGAAAAGTAGATGTGTTGACTTTGTGAAAAAGTAGAGATACATGTTTAGCATTGGACATTGTAGTTCAGTTAATCTGAAATTATACAAAACAAAACATATTAAAAGATGAATATTATTGTTATATCAAAACTTTTGTACAGACGATTAGTAAGATGAAACAAAAATAATTTAAAGTTGATTGAATATTCGATGTCTATTACAATAAATAGGTTCGTATAATATACTATCTTATCTACTTATTTTTTCTTATGAAAAAGTTTCTAAATCTTACTTGGTTATTATTTTTTAAAAAAGCTCAACGATACATTTTATCTCTGTGAGATATAATTGATGAAAAGTAAATGTTTAACAAAATAACAATCTAGACGTGTTTTATTATAGACTCATATAATCTTTCATCTCCCTTTACCTGTGTATTTCCTAGAAAAAAATACACTTAAATCCTTTTCTTCATTGTATCATCAAGTATTTCTATCGTTCTTTTGAATCTTATGTATTTCTCGTATGATTTTTTCAAGGTCTAGAATATTATAGGATAACATAATCTAAGAATAGTGTAATTTTCGATATATCCGCATTCTCCAATACGAGTAGGAATAATACAATAATCGTAGTAAAAACAATAGATTTAAGTTTTTTTTAACCATATTCAATCTTCTCTCATACCTTCAGCAGTGTTGAATCTGCTACTCAAACAAAAAATTCTCTCAGAATGGAGATAATTTCTTGCAAAAATTTCCTCTTCTATCAACATAAAGGAAAAGCAGAATTCTCTCTTTTCAATGACACATTCGAAGAAAGTGAAAAAGAAATAGATTTACTTAACATACAAAAAGTCATTTACAAAATCAATCTTTACTAATTAGTAATTAATAGAAACAGTTTTCACTGCAAAAAATAATGGGTTTTATAGTTATTTTGATATCTTCTAACAATAAATAAATCACAGAACCTTAGTACAAAACTTACACTCGTACTAT